TCACCTGTGTGCTTTCATTAACGTACGAATTCCCTATTTTTAATTCTCAATTAATTAACGTTCACATTCATTTATTTAACAATTTAGTTATCATCAATGTACATTGGACACATTCATTTCATATGTGTGCTCTCATTAATGTATGAATTTCCTATTATTAATTATCAATTAATTAACGTTCATATTTATTTAATTATTCATCTTCATTTATGCGTTTCAGTACTATTAATTCTAATTATAAGTTAGATTAATTGTAAGTCAAAATAAGTATTGAAAATTTAATAAATGATTTAACATTCGTTGTCATGTATATATTCACTGGTATTAATTCTAAATTATTTAACATTTATGTATATTCAAATATTATTTTTACAACACTTATAAAGTATTTCATAATAACTTGCAAAACACGTTCAACGTTAACTAGTAAGATATAAATATTGTTATTATTAGTTTATTCATAGTAACAATTGCTCACATGGGTGGACACAAAAGGTGGCATGAGGTCACGTAACCCTTCAAATTTTGGCCAATTTTTTTTACACCATTAATTTTTCTATGTTTTTGTTTCAATTTTCGAGTCATTATGAGATGCTAAAAGAAATCGAAATATTGCATTTTGAATACTATTTCAAAGAGGTCACGACCAAATTTTGTATGTCATTAATGACACACGAAACAGTCAATCGTAACAAATATTATGGTCTGTCAAAGTAGGTCACTCCAAATTAATATTTCGATAATTTCGATAATATGCTAATTTAAAAAATCTCAGATGAACGTACGCTAGCCAAATTCACGAATCACCTACGTCATTTCGAAACTCTTTTTGAAACTACATTATGGATATATCGAATTGTTCAAACGGACATAAAATAATTAAAAGTGCATCAAACATGCATCTTAAAAAGAGGAGTCTCATATTTTCTTTAAAAAGTTTCAATTATTTCACTAATATTTATTATTTTTGCGTGACAGATTGCTAAATATAATTTACATCATTTTATTATGAAATTTTACATGGATATGACGTGAAAAATTTTCGAAATTTTACATCTGAAAAAGTCATACTCCCTGTAAATTTTCTGATGTAAATTTTCTAACAAATTTTTTTATAAGTTTGATTGCGTCCACCTAATTCAAAATGTGTACGTCTGCTACCGATTGCTCAAATCTAGATACTTATTAATTACTATTGCTTATACGTGAATCAAATAAAGTTACATAAAATATTTATTTTCAAATTCAACCAAATAAGCAATAGGTGTAAAGACAACGAACAAATTGAAAGACGGGGAAAACTTTATGGGAGGTGCTACAAGTATATCGGGGTGTACATAAGGGTGTCCATAATGGACGTTCGGCACCTCCCCATTGGACGAAGTGCAGGTGGGGTCGGCATTTTATCCAATGGGGAGGTTCCGGGTGTCCATTATGGACACCCTTATGTACCCCCTAATGTACAAGTAGCATTTTCCAAACTTTATTGAATGGTTCTTTCCTGAAAACTAATATTATCTTGAAGGGTTGGTACTATACATGTGGTCGTCGAAAACAACGTTGTTAGATTTAATAACTGAGTTGTTGGACACCATTGGATCAAATCAAGACTCATTTTGACCGCTGATTCCCCCTCACTTCCAGGGCACGAGAGAAATTGAGAGAGAATTCAGTGTTCTTCGTCTATCTTTTATCTTCATTTCTTCCTTCTTGTTTTCTGTTTTCCGAGTAAAATTGTGAGAAAAAGGAAGGTTTCGTTAAGAGGTGGTGAGCAATAACCTTATAGTATTGGTTTGTACGAGAATCATAGTGTTGAAGCAACTATTCTTTTGCAAGAAAATTATGGTTTCTTGATTTGCTAATGTCTAACCCTTGGTTCAATTTCCCTTAGATTGCATATCGTTAGACCTGTTTGTAAGAACTAAACTTTACTAATTGAGACTTGCATGTTGAAAATCATAGATTTTTTATGTTGAATTTGGGCTCTTAAATCTTCACAAGTAATCATTTTTTTTTTCATTTATAAGAGGTTAATGGAACTAAATTTTTTAACTTAAAAACAACAATAAAATAACAAAATGGAATAATCAAAAAAATACTTCTGAATTTGGGCTCTTCAATCATAGCATGCAAGCAATTTTTTTTTCATTTATAAGAGTTTTACGAAACTAAATTTGGAAAAACTTTAATGAATCGTTTCATCCTGAAACCATTGTATTCACGAGGGCATCGAAAACGATGTCATTAGATTTAACAACAGAGTTGCTCGACAACATTAAATCAAATCAAATCTCATCTGGACCATTGATTGATTGGCTAGTTTAAAAGGACTCCTTCCTCACAAGAATTTGTGATCAACGAGAACGTCTCATTGTAAATTTGTTATTGATCAACTTCAAAATAAACAACTTAAGTTTAATTATTTATATTTGTAAATTATAAATTTGTTTGTATTTGCAAATCTTCGTTGAATATTTGTCTTACGGGTTTTGCTTGGTGTACGGGTAGGAGTTCTGTACACCTACCGAACACACACAAGCATAAGTGAATTGGGTATTTTTTGAATAATTTTTTAATGAGACGGATCCCATGTGTGAGAAGAAAAGGCCTGGCAGAGGAGCATAATTCTTTGTCTTACTCCATCCACGTCATAATTATTTTCAAATAAAATTACTTCTAAACACGTTTTTGTTTTAAGATAAGTTGGATAAGTTAATTTATTTGTACCTTTAAGCGTTGGACCAACACGCGGGCCCCTCGTGCCCACCTTAGACACAGACAAGTCTTCTTAGTTAATTTATTTGTACATGGTTTGGTTAAAATCAACCCAACAAATCTACAAAAGCACAAATAAAGAGAGAACGATATCACGGGAATATAAAGCATGATGTAAGAATTTTTTATTTTATCTTTTTGAATCACTTCAATAGGTATTGAATAATCTTTCCTGCTTTTCTTTTCTTTCCTATATTCTGATGGTCGACTCTTGATCTTTACTTCAAAACATCGAGTCATCTTATTTTCTTGTAGATTTCACCAATGTGACTTAAATTTAAAGATTTGTCCTACAATGGCGAGAATGAACATAAACTCTAAACATTCGGAACAATAATGAAAGTCCAGGTCAAAGGACATAAACATTACAAACTCATAATAATCGCTATTCAGACAACTTCATGTTTACGCTTGTGTTTGCTGATCTAAATCCTTCGAATGAAAAGCGTAATTCGCCTTTAACATATGATGAATTAAGTCATTAATGTTTGTAATCACTTGCGTTCGATCAAATATTGATCTTTACTTCTTTGTTATGTTGATTTCTCCCTCAATTAGATCTACTTTGATTACGTGGTAAAAATGTAGGGAAGTCAAAAAGGTATTACTTTTTTTTTTTGACGTAGGAACCTAGAGCCGCTACCCCTCACGAAGGCCCGACCACCTCGAAGGACGGAAGTCCGACCACTATGAGTGCGCACTAGGTAAATCTAATAACCCACAAACCACACAGGAGAGGTAAATCGCACTAGGCAAGCTCGGTGCGACGGGCTCGACTAAGGAAGTGTTGACAGAAGATTCGAACTTGTAACATTTGGTCTTCGCGTTCATCGCTCCACCAACTCTCGGGGTAAAAAAATAATAAAGGTGCTACTTTTCCTACATAAATAAAGAGAATCACTTGGTGGTTACTGTTCATAAGTCGAGACGAGACAAATGACTTTATGGCTCCCCCCCCCCCCCCCCCCCCCCCCCCCCCCCCCCCNAAAATTTATGGTGTCAAAATGGATATTGAAGGAACTCAATGATTTTCGGAAGACTCCTACATCATGCAGTGCTGATAGATAAACATCTTCTATGAAATTGATTATTTTGATTTTTATAAAATAGATTTAATGTACAGTATCATTAGAACATGTTGAAAAAATATTCGACGGAATTTATAAAGTTAGGTGATCGGTTGTCATTCTTTATGCATCTATGATGAAAGTTTTCGTTGTGTTGTAATTTTAATACTGATAGAGACTTTTGATTTGTCCTAAATTCAGCATTATAAGATACATTAATTAATTAGTCTTGACTACATACGTCCTGCATAGGGTATTGTAAAAAAATTAAATATTAGTGCAATTGATATATGTAATTGGAGAGATTCTATAAATACGAGATGAATGAGATATAATGTCTTATCTCAATAGGTAGAAAAATGAGGATTATGTTGAACTTCATTATCTCTTTAGTAGGGCATCAACACCTAATCATATATGCCCTGTCTTTTTTTAAAAAGAACAGAGAGGCCTTCAAACGTAAATGGTAGAAAATAAGCTTGAATCAAATCTCTTAATATTATTTTTGTCACCTATCAACATTTCAAGTGTTTTAAGTTTAATGTAACTAATGTTTAAGACCAATAAATTTTTTTTTATATTTACGCTATCATATAGCTAACTATACTATGACACATGCATGGCACCTGCGTCTGACTAGTGATATAGTAAAAGGTTGTCTTTGCTACTTTATATCCTCGTAAGTTACAATTTATAATAAAAATATTGGTAGACATCCCATTGGATAAAGAATGTAATTTGTTACATTTTCGCGAAAAGTGGAAACTGAATTCCACGTCAGCGGGGACCACAACATTCACTTTATCATATTACTTGTCGACCCTCTAATTGTCGGGATTATTAACTAATATTAATTTAATATATAGTAGAGTGCTGCACCAAACACTGGTGGTTGTTTCTTGTTGTAAGTGTATGCAACGAAAAGACCCGGAAATAACTAATAATGAAACAATTCATATATTGACATTTCGTGATGCTTGAATAATGAACTATTAATCACTACGAAAAATATTCTAAGTAGATCACAAAATTGGGATTTTTATTTTTTTATCAAAATACCTTCCCGTAAACAGTATGCTTATGTAGCTTAAAAAGTCGCTATTAAGCACGACCAAGCAAGCCTCCGTAATTCTGACAAAAAAATATAGATTTACGGCTTCAAAAATTCCAAAGGGATGAATGCTGTGAATTTAGTTCATCGGCGGTTTCTTGCATATAATCAGCACTACTCAACGGTGGTATAAAAAATTCACCATTCAAATCATCAAATCCCGGATATATCCCGAAATCATGAACATTATTCTCTGTCCCCATATTAAAAAAAGAGTCCATAAATGCATTGTCTTGGGGTAATACAGTCATTTCACTGTCCAAATGCATTGCACTACCAGAAGCTGAGGGAGAAGGAGAAGGGGACTCTGCATGAACATCAGAAGACGAGTACGACTGGGGATCCGAACTCTCAACCCGACCCGGATGGATATTCATTGGTTCCGAGTGGGCAAACTGAGCTGCCGCCACCCGGATTTCCACAGGCGTCATCGAAGTCCCTTTGACTATCTCCGGTGGCGGTGGGTTATTCGGGAAATTGAACTTAGCATTACTGCCACGCAGACACAACAACGCCGCATCAAATGCGCGCGCAGCCTTCTCCGCTGTGTCGTAAGAACCGAGCCAAATTCTCTCCCTGCTATTGGGCAACCGGATTTCAGATACATATTTTCCCCACTTTCTCTTCCTCACACCCTTATACTTTAATTGATCACTGGTTCCTTCTGATTTCATCATTATATCTTAATCGCTTCCGAAAATAGATTAATTTTCGAAATGGTTTTTTTTTTGGCTTCACTGAGTGTTGTTCGTGTGCCGGTAGTGTTGGAAATGGCGGCTCAGCCGTGCATATATATGTGTGGGGGCCGAGTGAGTGACGAGTCTGGTGAGTCAAAGGTCAACCTAACGTGTTGATTAAGAGAAAAAGAGTGACAGGTGGGATTTTGAAGAGCGTTGAATTTTGTTATAACGCGGTGACGTCTGGTATTTGATACTAACAAATTGGCTTGAAGTTTCTCGTGCATTATATACAGATATGTCGTGGAAGGTCCATAAGTCATAAATGGCTTATTTTTTATTTCAATTTTGTGGGCCCACTTTTTAAGGACCATTGCAATTTTACACACACGAAAAGGCAAAATGTCCCAAAAGTTCCCGATGCGGCGCAGCGGCGGACGTAGGGTTATTTCGGTCCCAATTCATCTCGTTTTCATCTCTAATTACTCTGTACTGGACCATATCGTACACATTTGATGATATGAGTTTTACTTGCTTTATCATTTTTTTTTTGTGAATCTGTACTTGCTATCATTCCTAGGATGAACCGCATCCTTGGAGGGCCCGCCCCGCCTCGTCCCGGAACTTGGTGAATGAGGTAAATCGCAAATTATGCCTCAAAGGGTATATAGTGGAAGGTTACTTATATACTTGCACTTACCCCAGAGCCAAATCCATATTTTAGAATTCGAATCCTAACGCGGAAGTTTCAAACAAAGTTAGAGTTTTTCCACATTCCGCTTTCACCACTTGAAGATGTGCCATGAGGATTGTACTTGCTATCATTCTTGGTCCTACTTAGTATTGTTCAATCAAATAAAACAAGCATATCATGGGAGTTTAAAGATTTAATTTCAAATTTCTTGGTGATGTCTTTATTCGACGTAAATTATGACTTCTAGACATTGATGATTTCTTTTTGGAACTATATAAAATTATGATTAATCTAGTTGTACAAAATAGGTTGACAAAATGAGTGCGACAAAAACTAGGCCTTTTTGAAATTAATGGTCTAAATATTGCAAACACATATTTTGTAAACCAATTTTGTCAACATATTTTGTACACATAGCATGACTCGTGAAATTATGACAACTTTTACTTCCCAAACATATATATAAATTTCAGCAAATTATCTTGCGAGCACCATATTGTTCCTCCAAATAGGGATGGACAAGACTCTCGAACTGAACCGATCGAACTGCACCGATCGATTCTTTTTAAATTAAATACACGAACGAGTATTTGAATCAAGAATCAACGAGTTCACTTCGGTTCTCGGTTCTAGACCTAGAACCGAAGATCTCTAATTTTTTTTATCTTAAATAAGTCAATTTATTTTTTTCTAAATAAATTTGCTAACTAATTAATTTAGCTCAAATTTAAAATATGATTTTCCTATTTCTAATTTTCAATCCAAGTCCAATTAATCAAATCGATCTAAATTTTACCAAAATCTCTTATTCTACCGTAATGTCATTTCTGTCCAGAGAAATCGAATTGAAAACCTCTCTTTATTATTGTGAGCTCGTAATCTTTCCCTTCATGTAATTTTAATTGTCAAATTTATGAGAAGTCAATGAAGAGAGATGCAAAAGATATCCCGGGATTGAACTACGTTATTTTATAAGAGCTAAAATTGAACATATCATCAGTTAAATTAATGTAGCGGGATTGTAAATATAAAAAAATAATAATTATTGAGTAGTAAAGGTTTTGAAGTGACAAAATTGAATTTGAATTTCAATCGGGCTCTACTTCGATATCCCATTTGAATTGTACCATCATGGTTCTAGATATTGGAAAGTTCTATGGTCCCTCCTCATTAGTTGCCCGAGGTATACTTTTCTACTTGTTCAATCAAATGTGCTTTTTTAGAAAAAGCATGATGTTTCTTCTATAGTGAAATTGACCCATAAGCTCAGGCCATAAAAATAAAGCTTCTACGAAATTCAATTGAAACGCGGTTGGTTAATTGTTAATGTGGGAAGTCTATAAACTTGATGGAATGAACCGTAAGTAATAAAATTCTACTTGTAAAAGCTCTATTTAGTGCTGTACGTGGTCCAAAATCAAATCGAACTTGAATTTTCGAGTATTTAGTGGGTGAAACCGTCGAATCCAAATTTAATTATAGGATCGATTTGGTTTGATTCCATTCGATTCCTAGGTTTCGTACAATAATTACATTTGTTAATATTTACAACAATACTGCATTAATTCAACCAATAATATATTTAATTTTAGCTCTTACAAAATAACGTAGTTCAATCTCATGATATATTTTTGCTCATTTCTTTGTTGAGTTTTCATAGATTTGACTATTAAGGGTGTGTTTGATGGATATTATTGAGAAAAAAATATATTTTAAATAGTGATATGATGTGAAATATATTGTTAAAAAATAAGGAAAAATTATTGATATGATGAAAAATATTATTTTATTGAAAAATGTGTGGTGTATTTTGAAAGAATATGTATCAAACATAGGCTAAAATCACATGAAGAGAAAGGTAGCGATCTCACAATAATGACGAGAGGTGCAATCGAGTTTTCTGTTCGATTTCTCCATAACAGCAGTTGCAACACGATAGAATGAGAGATTTGGATAAATCTTAAATCAATTTGATTGTGTTGGACTTGTGCCGAAAATTAGAAATAGGAAAATCATCTTTTGTATTTGGGTTAAATTAATTACTCATCAAATTTATTTAGAAAAAATAAAATAATTGACTTATTTAATAAAAAAAAATTAGGGAGATTCGATTCTTATTCTATTTTTCGATTCTTGGTCTATAATTGCGAATTGAATCAAATATGTTGATTCTCGATTCAGATATCCGTTCGAATATTTAACTTAATAAAAATCGCTCAATTCAGCTCGATTCGAAAATTTTGTCCAACCCTAATTTTATTGACAAAAGTTTACTCATAATAATGTGTCATACAAACTAAGATGTTCACTTTCCTTGTACACGTCCTTATAAAACACTACACGAAGTGGGGTCAAATATATTTCCATTTTCCAATTTTAAAAGGTTGCACATTAAACGTATATGAAAAAATAAAATAAAAAACAATTACACACTCTCGACATTGAAATTTGCACGACATCTCTCGTTAATGTCGTGAACATAAAAAAATGTTAGAAATCTACAAAATACAACTGACGAAGCCACCTCAAATAATTTGAGCTGATCATCAACTACTGCATTTCCACCATCAAATGCAACTATGCAAGTCTTGAAAAGTAAAAAAGCATCCCAATTGTTGAAGTATTTTCGTACGAGTATTGTTATTCATTTTCAGTGGGGATGAAAATACAGTCTAGATGGCTTTAAATTATAGGTTAAATGAAATGTGATCATTTAATGTCACATTAACGCCACGTAAACTGTGTTTTCATCCACAGTGAGGATGAATAGTATTACTCTTTTCGTATTGGCTTTCACAAGTTCATTCCTACAATAATTCGGTTTGCTAGAAGGGTTTCTAGAGTAGATCCTTCGACGCTCAAGCCTCAAGTCAGGATTGAATAGAAAAGGAAAGTCGGGATAATTAATACCCGTGATTATGGAACGTTTATATTTTCCTCACATACCTCAGAATTCGTTATTTTTGGTTATTGATGTGGTTCTCTGCATTATTAATTGAGTTATTAATTTTCTCTACGATTGTTTTAGTATTCTACATATTAAGTTTGAGTTTCAAGTTTCAACCAATCAAATTGAGATAAAATTTGTCAAATTTAGTTTTAAAAGTGAAGTTCACTAAGCCCTGTTTGGTTTGAATACAAATTAAATTTTAGTAAATTTTGATAAAAGATGGTGAAATGTGTGGTGAAAAAGTTAATAAAAATTTGAGTTCTCATGAAACATATAATTAAAAATAAAATTGAAAAAAAAATGAATTTTAAGAAACGGAAATCAAACATGGACTTAATAATACAAAACATATCAAGAGGTCAATGTTTTCTTCCAATTAGTGCTATTTGTGAAACTTTCCCTTGACAAAAACAAATAAGGGATAATTAGGCCTACTACCCTCCAAAATTAATCAATTAGAATAATACCCTGAAACTAATTAAAACTTTTACTCCCGTAATTAATACTCTCAAATCCTCCCCACTTAATCACCTGAACATCCTAAATCATCTTCCCTAAAAATTCATGGAGGAATTCAGAACTCATTCATTTCTCCCAAATTGAAAACCCTCCAAACCTCTCCATTATCATCTCCGATTTCCTCCCTTCACAACAGCGAGACAACATCGTCGAACTCATCTCCACCTCTGATCGGCGCCAAAATCGATGAAGAACAAAAGTCGTTACTGTATCCAAACGTTTTCGTCGACATCTAAAATTGTCGAATCCTGCTTTGAACTTCCACTTCCACTGCCACAAAACCACCACCACAATTATGTCCTTCTCCGACGGCACCGAACCTGCAAACCATTAGCATTGTCATCAGCTATGGGAAGATGACTCTCTAAGTTTGGCCCAAACGATCTTGGATTATTTTCATGGTTTTCTTGCACCAGCCCGTTCATGTTGTTAGCCATGCCTCAAGGAGATAACCTCATCTGGGTAGTTATGAATATATCATCACCGTATTTTCTAGGACTGTAGCTTGGAGAATCGCTGTACTCAGCAAAAGAAAGGATCCTGCCCAGGGACTTTGGTAAACGACGGCTTCCTAACTCTGCATTTTCATCCCCATTGTTCAACATCTCAGAAAGATGTTTCTTAGCCTCCATATAGATATTAGACGCCCCTTTCCTCTGATAATTAAAGGTTTCGTTTGCCATTTCTGCACTATTAACTTTTGATTTTCCCAATTGTTCACTGCTCTTAAAGCCAGTTGGGGATTTGGCAAATCTTTTAGAATAGAAATGGTCCCTGTTTGGAGAACTCCAGCCAACAATTTCTCCACTAGCACCTTTTTCATTATCGTTCCCATTTTGGTGCTTAGAGTAACTAATGTTTGCTATAAGATTGCATTTGCAAGTTTTGTAGGCCATAGAAAAATCTCTAGAATTTTCACAATAGAAATGGAAAGTTTCGCTCTTGGTTCTGTTGCATGTGTATGAAGTGTTTGATAATTTATTTCAATGGGAGTAATTGGCTTTGTTCAATTTTATTTGTTTGCTTCAAATAATATTCTAATTTGTTGGTTGTAATCTGTGTAGTGTGAAATTTGAGAAGAAAAATTGGATTTGCAAAATAACCATATTGCACAAGGTATTCTGCCATGCCTCGACCGGGAAAATAATAACTCAATTATGTTACACCAACATGAAAATTGCTAACTTGTCATTTTTGTTAGCATTCGTCACTTTTTTGGGTTTGTATCAGCTTTTTTGAGTTTCGGTCACTTTTTATAGTGTTTGTACCATATAGGGATGTCAAAGTTGCTCGTCAGTTTTATAAAAGTGATATTGTGTTACTTTTTAAAATTTTGTCACTTGTTTTTTAGTTTTTTGTCACATTTTCAGTTTTTGTCACTTTTTAAGAAAATAAAAAAAATGAAATATATGTTATATTTTCCTAATATAATCAGCATGTGGATTGACCTAGATGTGCTGATTATTTTAAGAACATGATTATTGGTACTGCACAAATGGATGGTGCTATTTTGGTATGTCACTTTTTTGAGTTTATGTCACTTTTTGAGAATGTGTGCATCATTTTTTTTTTATTTTTGTCACTTTTTTTGAGTTTGTCACTTTTTTCACTTTTTTTAAAAAGTGAAAAAAAGTGACATTTTATATATATAAAAAAAGAAATATTGTGTCATTTTTTCATTTTACACAATAAAAAGTTAAAAAAGTGACATTTTTTATATATAAAAAAAGAAATATTGTGTCATTTTTTCATTTTACACAATATTTTTTATTTAATTTTACACAATATTTTTTACTTTCTAAAAATCTTTCATATGATTTTGGAAAACATATCTAATTTTAAGGGTATTTTTGCAACTACCCCCATCAAATAAATAAAGCACAGAAGTGAGAGCCCCAAATACCAAAAATTGCACCATCCAAAACAAAAGAACCATCTTATCCTTGAATAAAACCTCCTCCCTAATCCAATCAGAACTTTCTAGGGTTTTGTTATCTCTTTTATTGAACCCACCAACGAATTCTTCTCAACTCATACTTAATCACTTCCCCTTGAAGGTACTTTCAAGTCTTCCCATTTCAGATGCTCTATTTTGCATTGTATTTCTCGAATAATTGATTAATTTAATTGGTTTATTGTTTTCTTTATTTTTGGAAGAAATGGCAGCGATACAGTTGACAGCATCTACAGTTTCAGCGAAAGAGTTTGCATCATTTGAAGGGCTGAGGCAAAATTCTGTAAAAGTTTCATCCTTTTCACCTCTTAAGCAAAGTGGGGTCTCCCGCAGGTCATTCCGTGGACTTCTTGTTAAGGCTGCCACCGTTGTTTCACCCAAGGTTTGTATTCAGTTTATAGTTGAATTTTCCGTTATCTAATCTTAAAAATTGTATTTCCCCCCTTAAATTTCAGTTCATATTTGTGGCTATTCAAATTCTTATTTGACACAAGGAAATAGCATTTCTTGTTAGTTAGTTTTGTAGTAGTGCTAGTATGATGCTGTTCAGTGGTTACTTTTACCTAAAAAAAGATGTAATTGTAAAATGAAAACCGCATTTTTATGTTGATGATGAATTGGTATGAAGTTAAGAAGCGTAGGATTTAGTCTGCCCTTAACTGTATTACTTGCTTGACTCGCCTTAGCTTCTGTATCTCCTCTCTACAGCTTCATCAATTTTATCACTGTATTGCGTTTGCCTAAATGAGATAAGAGGTGTTACTGTGTACAAGCAATTTATAGCAATCTAATTATTAGGCTAGGAATACTTGTTTTGTTTATATATTAATTGTAATAGCTGACTCATAATTTTGTTGTAGCTGTTCCCTTAGTTCTAAATGTTGTTTGAACCATAGTGACAACTTGAATGTGTACATGTGAATTGATATTAATATTGTTTTCTTTAAGCAAATTTCAATTTAGATTAGTTGTATGTGTGATTTTTCTTCTGTCTTGTTTACTATATTTGCTTTCTGATCCTGCAGTACACTGCACTCAAACCCTTGGGTGATAGAGTTTTAGTGAAGATTAAGACTGCAGAGGAGAAGACAACAGGTGGTATCTTACTGCCAACAACAGCACAAACAAAACCACAGGGAGGTGAAGTAGTTGCTGTTGGAGAGGGTCGTACAATTGGAAGGAGCAAGGTGGACATTAGTGTGAAGGTAATAGCACAGTCTAATGCATTCCAGTTTGTGCCATCTCCTTGAATGATTTCATTTGCTGACTGAATGACATCTCTAGAATGGCACCCAAGTGGTGTACTCCAAGTATGCGGGGACAGAAGTCGAGTTCAATGGATCAAATCATCTCATTTTGAAGGAGGATGATATTGTTGGAATCCTTGATACTGATGATGTCAAGGATATGAAGCCACTGAATGACAGAGTTCTCATTAAGGTTTGGTAATACTTAATAGTCTAGTTACATTATTATTCAGCTTTGTGCATTGTGCTGGGGACTCTGATCTTTCGACTAATCCTCATATGCAGTGTGCAAATATTTTAAGCTTTGATCTAATAATTTGCTAAAAGTGATCTTGGAGAGGCCTTTTTTTTCCCTGGAAAGGTGATGTAACAAATTTGTCTTTTGTGGCTATATCAATGAAGTTGTGCATAACCCTTATGGATTGTGGATTTATCCAGAAACACAACTTGAGCATATATTCATTTTACAATTGATAGATTCTGCATTTTTCTTTTTTCTTTTTCTTTTCGTTCTATACATTCTTTTTTCCATTGCCATTGAGGTCAATATGACCTAAGGATATACAAGCTCTGCCTTATACAACAATTCCTATTCAGGTAGCTGAGGCTGAAGTGAAAACTTCTGGTGGCTTGTTTCTAACGGAGGCTAGCAAGGAGAAGCCATCAATTGGCACGGTAAGTAATCTCTCTCAAGCTTTGAAGTTTAGGAGTGTTTCTGACTGCAGAATGAGTACTTTGCTCAGCATGCAAACGCTATCCTCAGTATTTGCCATCTTTGATTACAGGTGATTGCAGTCGGGCCTGGCCCCCTTGACGAGGAAGGAAATAGGAAGCCGTTGTCAGTTGCCCCTGAGAACACAGTTTTGTACTCCAAATATGCAGGCAACGACTTCAAGGGCAGTGATGGTTCAGAGTACATCGCACTAAGGGCTTCTGATGTCATGGCTGTCCTTTCTTAGTTTGTAACCTCTATTTTCAACGAAAGTGAAACTTCAGAAAATTGTTGTAGTCTGGATCTATAATACAAAACTTTTTGCGGCAGTATCGAATGAAGTACAAGTGTAATGATTTTTGGATTTGTTTTGGTCTTTGTTGTTTAAAGAGCTTCCTGCTCATCCGTGTTTCTAGCTCTACAGGGCCTTCGTAGTTTCCAGTTTCTGATATCTCAAGTGAAAATTTATGTCGAAATTCCAGTCCTATAACTGAATGTTTTCTTGCACCGTCCATTTGCAATTTATTGCGAAGAATATGAAGATACCTCCATTTGAGAATTAACGCGCTTACAATTTTGATGTGGGGAAAGAATTTTCGATTCGGTTCAGGAGGTTATGATGTGGAGCAAACATTTTTCATTCAGTCCAAGAATCAAAAATTGTCCGGTGAATTGTGTCCTCAAATTTTGTGCAAATAATGACATCCTCGATTTTGTCGCTCAATAAGCATAAATGGTTTCCTGGAGTTTCGCTGCAAGAATGGTGAAGCACTTCAAGAAATTCTGATGATGAGTTTAACCTTCGATGATACAAGAAATTTACATAAATAGTTTCCTGGAGTTTCGCTGCAAGAATGCTCAAGCTCTTCAAGAAATTCTGATGATGAGGGTAACCTTCGATGATACAAGAAATTTACATCTAACTTCTTACATTTCCTGCTAGTAAAAGGTTAGTCTTTACATGCCACCTATTGTATGATCGTTGAGAAAGCAACGCCAAGCGTCAAATCTATCCAATTGCCTCCAGAGAAATCTCAAATTGCTCAAATTCAACCACTCAAAATAACTCAACAAAAACAAAGACAAATATCTCAGCTCGAATTTGGACTACGCGTGCCTGTGCTCAACCAGAGCCTTCTGAAAGGGTCCTGTTACCGATCTTTGATTGTTCAGAGGTGCTCAGCATTTTAAGTGATCCATCATTTTATGCAGACCAAGTTAGTTTCTGAATTTAAAATGCATTTACCGATTGAAAGAGTTGGCAGAATTATCGTCATACTGTCCTCTCCATGCATTACCACTGTCTGTTCCACTGAATGCTTGGTTTGGGGCAGGAAGTTGAGCTAAATCTCCATCTAAACTCATTTGTTGTACCTCGGCAGAGGACAGTATCTTTATACTCTGGACGCAGCTCACAAACTCCCTGAGAAAAGTTTTCAGAGTTATTTGTGTTCGTTCAACGACAAACTAAGAAGACAAGGACAGTTGCTAAACACTTACTCCCAAGGGTCATCGCCAACAAGTAATATGTCATTCTCATGGTCTACATAGACAAGTTTCCATTCGGATCTATGTGGATCTTCGAGTAGTATCTTGATGCCAAACATACGGGCCAGATCATGCCTAAGTTCATCATACCCCTTGTAACGAGTGACATCAATAGTTCTACCAACAGATCCCCGTTTTTGAACCTGCATAATTTCTAGTAATCAGGTGACTCGTGTTGTTTCCAAACCTTAAAAAGAGAGAAATTAGATATAATCTAATTCATATTACAGTTCCGTAGTGTTCTCAAAGAGAATGAAGATTAATACTATTATGAATTTTTTTTCCTTTTTTTGTGGCAAGGGGAGATTAGGAGGGGAGCAGTTTGAAGCATGAGAGAGAGAGAGAAGAAAACCTTCGTGTATGTTCGCATGCGCTGAGTCTGGTTTGGCAACAACCCACTATTTAAAACACCAGCCTCATTGATTGCAACATCAT